GGCGATTATATTTTATGGTCTTTTTGACATACGTTGTTTCCTTGCAATGGGATCAAACCCCCAAGGTCGATAGCAATGTCATGTTTTTTCTCTCAATCCTACACCGTCCGTATAAAGTACATGGGCTCACTTTGTTAATATACAGGCATCCTTTCAAACTAGCAATTTTTCGCGTGTGGATAGATTAGAGAGGCTGTAATTGATTGTCTTTGTGCACGTGTTGCTAACTCGCATTGTGATCGAACTTCCAATGCTGACGTCACTCTGTTTTTCTTTCTGCATTCCTGCACGGTTGGTGCTGAGCACGGAGACCGACGTTGTTAATCTCTAGGCACCCATTCAAACTAGCAATTTTTGCACGTGTGGATAGATTAGAGAGGTAATAATTTATTGTGCTTGCGAAGGTGTTGCTTCCTCGTAATGTAATCCAAACTCCAAGGCCGACCTCACTTGATTTTTTTCTTGCACAGTCAATATTGAGCACGTAGACCGAAAAGTGCTATATCGTTTTTTTCTTCGTGCGTGTGTTGCTTCGTTAGGTAATCGAACCTCCAATGTCTATTTCACTGTCTCTTATCCTATAATCACTGCATCATTTCTATGGAGAAATTAGACGGAATTCTCAGTCTGCAGGGACAGTTTCAAACTAGCAATTTTTGAGAGTTATTACATATTGGAGCGGCGTTATTTTATCGCCTTTGTGCAGGTGTTGCTTCGTGGCGCAATTGAAACACCGAGACTGATGTCACTATCTTTCTGCCTTTATCTCTTCGCCGTTGGTATGGAAAACGTTGACCAAAATTGGCAGTCTGCAGGCACCCATTAAAACTCGGAATATTTGTGTGCAATAATAGATAAAGCAGCTCTATTTTTGATTTTGTGCATGTTTTGCTTCGTTGCGGTATCGAACCTCTATGGCTGACCTCACTGTCATTTTGCTATACTCGCTGCACCATCCCTATGGTGCACGTAGACCGACATTGTTTTTCTGCAGGCAGGCTCCAAATTAAATTCGAGCGGCCTTATTGACTTTCTGCACGTGTTGGTTGGTCCCGGGACCCAACTTCTAGGGCTGATTTTACTCTCGTTTTTTTCTCTCATTCCTGCACTGTCAGGATTGAGCACGTGGAGCGAATTTTTCAGACCGCAGGCACCAATCCAAACAAAAAATGTTTGCACATGATGATAGATTTAATCTGCGTTATTTTATTGTCTATGTGCATGGTTTTTTTCGTCTGATCAAACCTTCAAGGCCGATCTCATTCTCGTTTCTTCGCTCATGCCTACAATGTTAGAATTTAGCACGTGGGTCGACTTTTACAGTCTGCAGGCAGTCTTAAAAAATCACAGATGCTAGAATGAGCTTGTAAATCCGTGCGCTTTAATTTAATTATCAGTTTACACGTACTGCTGTCACACAGGATCTAAGTTTTAAACCCGATCTCAATCTCCTTGAATTTAGGGTTTTTTAGCTATCATGTTTAGGTATATTCTTTACATGTGATTTGCTAGGTA